TATAGGCAATAATGTTTTATTGTCATTATCATTCGATATATTTTAGGTTTTGAAGATAAAATAAATAGTAATCATGGCTGAAAAAAAAACAATCGAAAATTCAATCTTTTTTTTCAAAACCGCCCTCAATTATGAATTCATTGAATCCAACTCATACAGTTATAAGTTTCTCTAGTTCATCATTAACTGTATTATCTGCATCTGATACACTTATCACTCAGTACTCATCTTCGACTACAGATAGACAGTTTTAAAGAGAAGGTTTTAGTGTAAATAATTTTTTTTAAACCCCTCCCAGAGCAAATTTGAATGTACGCCACTGGTCGTTTGTACTTCATTCATAAAAATCTGAACTAATGTAAATATTGAAGGTGAGTTTTTATAAAATGATTAATTTAAGTTGGAATGAAAAGATTCACATGCATTTGTAATTATTTTTAACGAAGAAATTTCTATTGCCCATAAATTAGGGGGGGGGGACGCGTATTTGAAATGTAATAATAATTGTTCAATAAATGTTGTGAATACGCAAGACCGCGATTATCAGATGAACGTTGTGGCATAAAATTCATTACTATTTGATGGATTCAGTTTAGGGGTTCTAAAAATAATTAGCTAATTTTGTTTGGCGGAAATCAGAATATAACCTTTGGTGGAAAACGACCATGGTGTTAATGGACGAGGGTCGTTTCAGTGGAAAACGGAAATGCTCAAATTAAATATATATACATTTTGGCCTGGTGGCCAACACATACAATTGGGAAATCTAGATAGTGAAACTTATTAGTATAAAATAATACTTTTAATAGGTACCTTATTTTATGCTAGTAGTTTTAATGTTAAATTTTCATCTCACTCATTGACATGGCCAATATGGCATACGTCACATATTAAGTTCCTTAAATTAAAAATAAAACAATCCATCAAATTTATTGGTAACATTATTGCTACACAAAATTACTACAAAAATACATGTTGTTAGGAATGATAAGTTTTAAAACAAGTATTAGGTACAAGGGCACTTGTTTGTTATCGCCCCGCCACTCTTGTTTGTTATCACCCCGCCATATAGTTATCGTGTTTAGCCCGTGATTGATGATCTATTTTGGGAAATATTTTAGGAAATAACTGACCTTTGCAAGACATTTTATAATATTGTCATACTAATATAATATCAAATAATATAATAATACGTTGCTGGCTTTTGTTATTATATTACCTACTTCGTTCAGACCAATATTAATTTATAATAATAAAATTAATTTTAGAGGATTACTTTAAGTTATTTATACTAATGGTTGTTTTCAACAATGTTACAGGAATTCAAAAGGTTTAAGAGTCTCATTTGGCAGAATTTATGTGTAGAATACGTCTCGGAAAAAATGATGCATTTGAAACTAACTATATTAAAAGATATTTCTGAGTTCTGGCCTTCTTTGTAAATTTATATTATAATTTTTTAAATATATGATTATAATAAATTTTTAAAATTTTTTAATGTATTATAATATATTTTATTTATGGCGGAGCGGTAACAAACAAGAGTGGCGGGGAGATAAATTTTATACGGTGTACTGGCGGGGAGATAACAAACAAGTACCGGTACAAGGTACATAATTAACTCGAAAACTGAAAACATTTTTGCCCACAGATATATATAATAATTATATATATCTGTGTTTTTGCCTTACTAACATTAAACAGTTAGAATATAATTCACTAGCGCTATCTATTAACAAAATAAACCAGGACCATAAAATCAATCATTAAGCTTACTTAATTAATGATAAAATTATTCTYAATTTTGTACTGCCACAAAAGAATGGATTAAACGATTTATCTACAACGAACTTCAAATTAAACAAAARTTTTTTTGCACATCTAAAGCTAAAGCGGGAAAATTTAATGGAGTTCAATTATTTTGACTAAGTTTGCTATTTATCCAAAATATGGAGACAACACATCGGATGAAGCGTCTTAAAATATGATACGCTCCAGTCCTCTTAAAATATTAAATAATCCCTAATTATAATTTATATTTTAAGACATTTTTGAAAAAATTTTCAAAACAACTACGGATAATAACATTATRTACAAAATGCATTTTAATGTACAATCAACATAATATTATCTGTGATAATAATCTATGAAACTATTATCTACATCGTGATATGAACTTTAACCATGATTTCAACATAGACCTTATAGTATAAGGTCTATGGGTTTCAACCACATTGGTATCAATGAAATATTTGTTCATTATCTATTGTATTGCTGTAATCATTAAACCTTTAAACAGCAATCACAAATTACAATATTTTCTGCTTTTTTGTTTTTAAATTATGAATATTTTATAATGGCTAACTAATCCTTTTTTCTTTTATTATTATTCAATAATTTGAGTTGTTACCTTCATAGTTATTCTTATTATAAATTTCCTACTATGATTTAGGTTTTCGTAGACTTCCCAATCGGTTGTATTTGTTTCAAGACTTATTGTAAATTCATAGGYGAACTTAACATTTTACAATGTATTCGGTGGATAATCGAAATATGTGGATTAATAATCATCATATTCATAATCCTAGTATTCGATACGCTACTAAACGTAAAAAGTTAAAGAAGGTTATTAAAAATATGGTTTTCGTAAGTACACTCAGTTTCATTGTTAACTTGTCGTTAATCGTCCTATGGTTAGTTACAGCTTACAACCGCAAATTAGTTTTGTCGTCTAGGTTTTTAAAATGTATTTTTATACCTAGGTATTTGAGTTTCAATGTGAATTTTAGTCAAGTCATTCTAATTGATTAAATCTTTGAAAAAATTATTTTTAATTATTTTTCAATAAAATTTCGGTTGACAATTTATAGTTGCAATTAACAGCTTGTTAACACCAAAATGATTAACGACGGATTAAGGATTTTTTTAATTAGTTCTAAATTAGTTCTATTGTGCTTAAATTAAATATAATAYATATGTTAGGGGAGACCTAGGACATTTTCAAACATTTTACTTTCTACCTTGCTTGGGGTTAGTGTAGAATTGTTTGTTAAAATAAACTTTCTTCTAAATTCTGTGAGAAATTTGTATTGAGACAAATATAATATATAATGATTAAGATATAATATAATATGTAGTTAATAACATATTTTATTACAAAAAATGTTATTCACTTAAAAGCTAAAAATTTAAACAATTTCAATGATTGTTACACAAAATTTCCTAATAAACGATCGAGAAACAATAATCCGTTAAAAAATATCTAATAATTTAATTTGATTTAGAAGTTAATAAAATATAGTAGTGTTTAGAAAACACATATCATAATATGATATTAAAATCAAAAAATAAGCATAAAAATAATTGTCTTAATTAAAGCTATTAAAGTCTATTAACCCTAAAAATGAGATAATATTGTGAATTAAAATAAATATTTTTGAACTTTAACTACTAAAATTATTAGTTGCACACAATTATTAGACATTATACTTATATTATGAAATCCAGTTTCATACTTTGATTGTAACATATGTATTCACACTAGTGTAGATAAATTAGATAAATTCTTAAAAGTATTAGTTTTAGTTGAACTTCTTTTTTGTGCCCTTGTTTTCCATTTAATTTTTAAACAGATGTATCAAATAGTTAAATCATAAATATTTTTTATTTAATTATAATTACTTTACAAATTAATTTAAGGAAAATGCTGCCATATGTGATGAAATATCGCGAAATCAAGAAAAATTATTAATTGTCCGAGAAGAATGCAAATTTTTAACTAAAAAGTTAAGGATATTTGAACCTCAATTAGGTAACTAAATCTTAATCGTTTTAACCATTTTACAATTACAAATATATACACTTAAAATCATTATTCAGTAGCATATTTACACTTTGACCATATATAATTTTTAAAATATGTATTTGACTACGGAGATTAGTTTAATTGATTAAATTTCCTTTACAAATTCATCACTTGACATCCAACGATCCAACTGTGATATTTACTGAATTAAATCACGGGATAAAATTTAAAATTTAAAACATGAGTTTGTGGTTCTTTTTGATTGTTAGCAGTATTGAGATTAACACATAACAGAATTCAGTAGTAGTATAAATTATAAAGTAAAAATCTTACACAAATATTTATTTTCAGATGTTCCTGCAAACCCAACCACTGTAAAAAAAGCTACTCCAAGAAAAAAAGCAACTACCAATGGTGTGTATTTTTTAAAATTTTAATATTAAAAAAATTATTTGATTTTATAAAATATAAATAAATAAATAACAACCAGTTTAATACTTAAATCTGTATTATATGAAGATTATTTATTATTATACTAATGTTTAGATRATTAAAAATAAATGTCATACATATTGTGTGTTTTGTTCTTTATTAAAGAACAATGTTATTCAGTTCATGTCATTTWTGTATATTATTATATTATAATTTAGCAATATGTAGTTAGTCCCATATATGAAATTTTATACAAAAGGTAACAAATGTTTATTTACAGGTGTTGTAACACCAAAGCCAAGACGTCCTGCTGCTAAACATAAAAAGAATATTATAGAAGTCCAAGAACCAATAACTAGTGGAAATGTTACTATTTATAATTTTGGAGATGTGAGTTTAGCACATAATTTCTGAGTACATTAAATCTAACTTTCTAGATATTACTGTGACTATACTCTGTTCAATTTAAGAAACATAGTCGATGGCTGACTTGTTTGCTGGGTTTTGGAAATACTACTCATCAGCTGTAYAGTTAATTAACTTGTTGGATGTGACAAACGGACTGCGGCTTGATGAAAACTGGTCACCACCGTCTACGTTTTTTATTTTGAACAGAGTTTACATAGGTACCTACAGTAAAATATTATTTTATTATGTTTAAATTAAATTTTTTTCATAATAAAAGTGATATTTATCTATTCACAACTTATTAATTTTTCCAGATTGTATATGATACACCATTCTATTATTCAGACTGTGCAATCTATCCAGCTGGATTTTATGCAACAAGAACTTATGCTCATTTTAGAAATATATTTTCTAAATGCACTTATCATTGCAAAGTTATAAAAGCTGGTTCATCTCCAAGGTTCATAAACATTATTTTTTTTCATATCTAATATACCTAAATATACCTAATATCTTTTTGGATTATGAAATTTTGTTTTTAAATTTAGATTTGAGATCATGGATCATGATAAACATTTCAAAGTGACTGGTTTGAGTACTGATGAATGCCATAGTCATCTTATATCATTAATTAATAAATTACTGGGTGCTGACGATTTAATACCTGCAAATAGAAATGGTGATAGATTTTTTGGATTGAGTTTACCTCCAGTCCGCATGAAACTACAAGAAGCACCAGAATCTAAATTTTGTACGGGATATATTCCATTAGAATTACAGGTATTTTAACTATATTTTATCTCACAGAAAAACATTGTTTGAAATAATTTTCTAAAAAAAAAAATTATAATGAACCATACCKTGGTGTTGGAATATTTTTTCTTATTTTGCAGTGGTAATGATTTAATTTGTTTTATACAGATATGATTAAGAATTAAACCATCTACATTCGATGGGAATTGATAAATATATATAAAAAATAGATATCATGGCATGTACCACTTATAAAATTATTCAACCTGAGTTATATGTGTTTTAGCAAAGCTTTGCTCTAAAAGAAAACAACTACATTATTTATTATTATTCTGTATATTTTTAGTAATTGGTGTCCATCCTATTTTTTATTATTAAAATACATATATTTATCTTAACTAATCCTACAGTTGAAATGATTGAACTTTTTGTGTATAAAATTATAATTTATAATTTTCAGCCAAATTGTCATGAAGCAGAGTTAAAAGCTGAAAGTGATCCTGCCGTGAGTTTTGAAGGTCTTCATAATACATTGAACAGATTTAGATCTAGACATTAAGAAGTGTCGTACTTAAGCGTATAATAAAATGTGATAAGTAAATATAATTTTATGAAAAAAATGTATACAATTTTAATTACATTATATTATCAAGAGAAAAAAATTAATCAATTCATCATTATTGTATATTCAGTGTTCCCAAATACATTTTTTTATAATATCAGCCAATAATTATAAATGTATGGTATTCAATGCTATCAATTGATATCATAAAATGTAAATATTTTTATTTCTTATATATTGGTCCATTAACAATATAAATTTATTTTTGTTTTAATTAGCCATTTTAAAAAMCTTAGCTCATTTTAAAACATTTTATTTTTTATCGTATGGATACATTATTATTTTATTTTTCATTATGGTAGTAAAAAATTATATAATAATTATAATATAAACAGAGGTACACAATATAAACAAGGCTACTGTTTTTTTAAGATGAAATTCCTAACAAAGAAAGATTGCAAATAAAATGCAAGAAATAATTTTTATTTACTAGTTTTGCAACAAATTTGAGAATTAATAACTTGGCTTGTGGCCGTATAATTTTATATGTTAGTTGGAGTATCCAAGTGAAATAGAGAAGTGGCAGCTCTAGTAGTGTGTAAAATATATATTGTTATATATTAGTAATCATATATAACTTCTGATAACATATTTTTATTTGTCTTGAAATTAGCTTAAATATGACCTTTTCATTTTTTTTTCTTTCTTGGAATTGTATAGGGTAGTGCACAAAAATAATGATTTTTCACCATAAATACATTTACACAACCTGCTTGCATACGCATACACACATTTCTTATAATATAAACACTTACCATTTGATTTTGTTTGATTAAAGATGGACATTTTGTAATTTTTAACCTTTTTAAAGTTATTTTKATGTATAGTACTTAATACTTGTAATATATATTTATATTAAATGAAAAAAGTGTTTCATTCATTCAAATATTAAATATAATATACAATCCTAATAACATATATAAGAATAAAATACATGTTTTTTTATTTTTACAATGTTGAAAACCATGGCCCAAGATGACAAGACTCATCAATGTATGATAACGTAATAAAAGGGCTAAAGCACCAAACTACTATAGATATATCCAGATGATTCCCAACAATAATCAGTGCTGGAGGACATTTTTATGTAGGCCACTCTAACTAGCTAGTATTAAAAAATATTCATTGTAACCACTAACTAATAGAAGGGTACTAAAATATTATAAAAATTAACAAATAATTACTTTTAAATTGTATGTATTGTATTCAAAGATATTGAAATTTTATAGATAATTGTGAAGTATTAGAATGTACTTAGAAATTGGGAATTTAGCGCGTTCRCAGAGTATAATTTCTAAAGTTTTTTAGTTACTTATGTCTCACAGCATTGATTAACATATCTTAACTAATAAGTAACATGTCAAYTAATAAATGCTGTCTACGAGTCTGTGAWGGGCTAGCTTTTCTAATATCTAAAAATATTGTCATCTTTGCTAAATTTTTCTCCCTAATCTTTTACGTTGATAATAGTATTATGATATTGAAAATCRGAATGATACACCATGTTTTAGATCATATACATTTATATTTATTACTTGATTTATTTAATTTGTACTTATTTTGTTTAATATAAGTTTGAATAGAAAATAGAAAATTTATTCACACAACAATTAAACCAATTAAAAATATGTTAAGCGTTTACCAAAATTGTATCATGACGTGTTCTGTTATCAAATTTTTACTCTTCAAATATGCTAATGAATCAGCTATTGATGAGTCTTTTTTAGTTGATTAACTGGTTTAACACTTTAATTTTTTTAAAGATTCCTAAGAATTTTTAACTTAGTTTTATTAAAATTAAATTTAGTTCTTCTGGGAGTACATAAATTAGGAGGTTTTATTTTACCAACATAATACTTTCTTCGTTTTCTTTTGGGAGTAATTATATAAGGATCTTCAGTCATTTCTGTATTGAACACTTCACAACTAGATATTTAAGCATTGCACACTTCAGAACTAGATGCTTAATTATTACTTGTAGTTGAAGCAAATTTATCATCAAGTTGCACTTCCATTGAATTTGCTCTTGACAAGTTGCAGAATGATCTGAATAAAAAATGTGTTTTACTTATTATGAAGTTATTAATTTATTATAAAAATTAACAATAAATACCCAGATTCAAAAAATCTTTTTGTTCTACTTGAAAGCTTAGTTGGTACTGAACCACGTGTCAAGGATCTTCTTACTAAACCTAATTTATAACAGTTTTCTTCAAAGTGAAGTGAACAAAGTCTGTTTTTTATTGTCTCTTGGAAATCTAATAAATATATTAGTTCCTTTTATTATTTACTTTTAACATTTTAACCCTTTTATTAAACATTTAACATATTGAGTAAGTGTAAGAACTTTTTTCAAATTAATTTACTTAGGTACCTATTGTTGATTTGATTATTATTTAAATACTGACGAGTGTAAAGAGATGCCTGGATGCTTAACTGGAGATTTAAGACAAAACATACAAGCATTCTAGTTTTTAGTACTCATTTTTTAAAATAAATAAAAATGTAATTTAAAGTCCAGTTTAAACTTTAATTTATATATAAAAAAAATAACAGGAATTTTGAATTTCGTTATCACTATCAACAGTGATTGCGGGTGAATCTTAGATCCTTAGTTCATAAACTATAGATCACGAATTAAGATTTATTTAGTATATCTTAATTCGTGCTATGGGTGGAGCTACAGGAGCTACAGCGTATTTGTTGCCGATATTAGCTTTTTGTTATTATTAATTTATTAATTTATTATTTTTTATATTAGTTTCTGCATGAGGTGTTCCACATACGCATGCGCTATGCATTTCGTCGCATAATAAAATTATCCATTGGCCGTAAACAATGTAACATGTGGATAAATGAGCAACGAATTGCATCACGCATGGGCATATCGAACACCTTATTCGGAGTAAATATCTAAAGGGTGAACCGTGCTCTACTACATAAGATGTGAGTCGTGCTCATGCGCTTTTGCCACAATTCACCTTGGTTAATATGTTCATAGAGACATAGACCTTAGTATAAGGTCTATGAATATGACAAACACCTTTTTTTAATCCTTGTTAATGTTCTATGGTTCAAGAATTTTAGATTATAGATATTATAATATTAAGATAAAATCTAAAAACCTTGGGTTATGTTGGCTATAAACATTTGGCCAGTTGTAGCTCTATCCATTTCCAATAATTATGATTAAAGCATAGACTTACTATACTACTGAAGTACTGAATACTATATGTATAGTATAGAAGTCTGTGCCACTCTGTAGATTTAAGGACCAAGTTRTGTTATCTTTTTCTTAAAATATGATAATATGATGAGATAATAAATATTTGAATAAACAACGGGATGGATAAGTGATAAGTAAAAAGTAATCTTATCTATCTGAATTTTATAAGCTTAATAATTTAATATGCTTTATAACCGTCGTTCGAGCGTCCTAGGTCCGACTCACCATTGACACCCTTCAACAGAGTCCGAAAACCGTGGTTTATTTTTCTATTGAAGAAAAATAGTTTTGTWTTTCTGCCATTTTTAGTTAACAGAAAATGCTTAAAATAATTTGACTGTTTAAAACAAAAACATTCTGAAACAGAATTATGGCAAATCAACTTCAAGGATTGGATTCCGTGAATAAAAAGATTATTTTACATGTAAACTCAGGTTAGAACATATAATTTTGGAAATAGAATATTTAGTCCTAAGATAGTTTTGGATACCGTAGACTTGCCACAATTAGACATTTTGCGACTCCACGCTGAAATAAATTGGCACCTTTGTAAAGAATAAAAGAAAATATATAATATTTGTTTTACACTAATTTGTGCTTTAAAAAAAAAAAATATTGATTAATAATTTATGAACCCTCTCCCAATCTGTAAAGATGCTATTTGAGGCAAATCCTTCTTTTAATTCATCATATAAGTTGTTTTTTTTTACATATTTAAGGTACWTCATTGTCTATAGATTATATTAATATCAAAATAAAAATTGATTCAATAAAACTACATAGGCATCTAAACTATGCAAATTAATATATATATTTTTTTTTTATTATAGGTATGTTTATTTACAATATACCTAATTTGTTATTTGTCTTTTAGTAAAGTTAGTTTACTGTTTTGATATCCACTCTAAACCTTTTGCTGGTCATCATTAAAATAATATAAAATAAATAATCAGCAGTGTGAATAAAATAATATTAAGATGATGTTATACCAGCATGTGTTGTCTTCGTTTTACAAATATTGAACATTCCATAAAGGAACTGTTTTAAGCCAGAAAGAATCAAGAAGACAATTAATGACTAAGAAACAAAATATTCACTCTATAAATATGAGAACATTTACTGTGCAACGTTGTTTTTATTTTGTTCATATCACAAACACAAAAATATAAATACATTGTTGCATAGTAAATTAAATTTTGATCAGAATAATATTATATACCTATTATATTATATTATACTGTCATTAAAATAACTTCAATTTTTGAAAGTTTTAATAATTCATAAATGAACAAATTTCCTACCACAAAATTTAGGTTGCCTGGGGTAGTTGTAGCCAATGTCTCCCCTAAATGTGGCCTAAAATAATTACTTCCTAGGACAAGGGTGACGAACCCACACACGCATTTAAAGTGGCACGTTTGTCAAATTTCAATGGCACACAAAAATTAAAACAGAGTAAAATTATGCTATTTTTAACATTTTACTTCTAAAAACTTCAATTAAATTAAAAACAATTTAAAAGTTATAATATTCCTATAAGTAAAATTGATTATATTACTATATTATGTCACTATATTTATTGTGTTCTATAAACTGTTAACAAACTTTAGGTATGTGGAAAATTGTCAAATCCTTGTTTGTTAAAATTTGTCACTWGACCCAAAAAAGGTTCGGAACCTCTGCTCTAGGACGTTATTTTTCCCATATTTTTGACTACAGTAATAAAAATAACCAGCATTTTTGTATTTGTATCAGCTTCCAAGTATTTATTAGAATACAAGTACCTATCCATCTTAGAAACTATTAGAATTTGTAATAAATATTTATTATTAATTCATTTTGAACATAAAATGCGAGATAAAATGTATCTATGCAAAGCAAAAATTACAAGYCAATTGTATAAAAGGGGTGTGAATATAATAAAATGATAGTTATTGAGGCAACTTAACTRCTCTATACTAATATTGACAAGRYATTTAATAATATTTTTTTTTTAGGATATTCTAAAATATTTAGCAAATATTTCTAAAATTTCGCAGCATATAAAATTATAAACATCATATTTAAAATGTTTATCAGAATATAAGTCCAGACTCTTGTCATAACATAAAATAAATTCTGATATCATGCTGCTTGCCACAATAAACTCAATGAGTGATGTGTAAAAATAAAGTCTAAGTAACTAATCCCTTTATCGCGTTAGTTGTRATAACTCATATAAATATTACATACTACATAGAAATGAAAATAGTCAAATTCAGAAGTCTGAAGTATCTAAAGTTATTAGTTTATTACTAAATTCAATATGATAGGTATTTAATTTGTTATAATTCTTTATTCATCATACATTTATTGAGATTTTGAATAAAATAAAATAATTTGCTTTGAATACCACAAAATAAATAAATAAATCATATTTTCACAAATTAATAGAACACAATGGTTTGATAAGAAGAGATTCGCTTCTAATAAATTTAGTAAATTATTCATAGTAATGAATATAACTATAAAATTTTATACTCTCACCATATTATGTTAAAATTATTAATATTAATGTAAATTATTCATGTTCATTATACAATTTATAATCATAGATTTATATTTTAGCCTATGGATTTGGTTTGGTCAAAGGATCAATTGTAATTTATGCAACATTAATGAACCAAACATTAGAAACAGCTATAATTCCAGTCAATAAAAATGAATTGAAGTTTTCCTCAGATATTATATGGTACATGGATAATGCCACATTAAGGAAGTAAAAATTAAAAATTGTATTTATTTCTAAAAAATACTTCTTATTTTTTTATAATGGTTTATTAATATTATTTTATGTTGCCCAAGGTTAAAAATGTCTAATGCATCTATAAAAGTTGAATGCTTCCGTATTCCAATAGACAAACTTAGTTCAAATGAAAAGCTTGGTTACCTTTTATTAAAAGTGAAAGGTGCACAAACTATTAATCCAACATCGAATGATCGTGTAAGTAATACTGATTTCTCATTTCAATGAATTAGCATATATCATTTAATAATGTATTAACTATTATTCATAAATCAAGAGTTTAAAATTAAATTTTAGATCGAAAATGTATCATACAAATTAATAGGATCAAAAAACTGTTGTTATGATCTTAATTTATCATTAAGAATTGAAGATTTAAATGATAAAGCTATTGGAAAATCACCTAAAAAAATTAATTACTCAAAGTTGATAAATAATAAGAATAAAAATGATGAAACTTGTTTGAAAAAAAGTAAAGTATTAAACAATCACTACTTACTAATTATTAACATACATTTTTAGTATATATCTTTAATTTTAATGCTACTACTTAAATCATTGATATATCAGGGGATATATCGATGGCATTTTGTCAAGATATGTTTTACTGTTAGCGTAACCCCACAAGATGAGCTCTGAGAACTTTATTTGACTATCTGGTTGTACAGCTTCTTTTGCAGATTCGTCTGTCCATTTCATTCCTTTCTCTGTGTAACCTGGAATCCAAATGAAGGCGATGTTTATGTCTCTGTGTTTTAAATTTATAGTTTCTTCTTGAATGCATTTAGCAATGTCTGTTGGCTTAATTTTGTTATCTAGGTTCTTGGATGTTCTCAGAGAGTGTGTGAGTATTACATTGTTTGTAATTTTTTTTTTTTATTGAATTATATTGTTTTGAGTACAGCTATTGCTTTGGCGGAGTATATGGAACATTCATCTGGCTGTTAATATCTAATTATTGAATTGGAGTGCAAAATCGCAATGACAACCCATTTTTATGTTTTTGATACATCATTGTAAAAGGTTTTACAATTTCAGTGTGTTTCCAGGATGTCTGTTAAAAAGTCTTTATAGATAGTTGGATTTTGGATTCGTGTTTTCTTTTTTATTCAGGGATAATCCATATTTATATTTACATAGCTTAGAGAACTATGGTGGAAAGTCGTAAGGTTTTGTTTTAACTATAGAGCCATGTTGTATTTTTTCATTTTATTTTATTAGTTAATTTTAGATATGTGTATGTTGTACGTCCTCCAACCATCACTGGCCTCATATTTTCACTTTGTTACTCATCTCAATGTACATGTAATTTTGTCATTAAATCAAAATATTCAAAACCAATTTTTGGACGTAAAATAATATCACACCTAACAAAAAGTACTTTCACAGGTTTAATTTAGAAATTTAAAGATGTTTGAAATGCATAAATATGATTATTTTGCATTAATTTGAAGACTTTTTTAATTTTTGCAAATTCTTGGAGGGAGCATTAAAATCTTTTTAAAAAATCTATTTGAAAGTATTTAAAAAAAAAGCTCAGACCAATGCAAATTTAATTTCTTTACCACGTCAAAAGTCATAATATTTTTTAAATTAATCCGCTATAAGTACTTTAACTTTTGTCAGTCATTTGGTTTTTTGAAGAAAAATTTACATGGTTTGCAAGAGCCTTAAAAACTATTATCTAAATGTACAACACATGTTATATAGAATGAACAAAATAAACTTAATTGATTTTTTCAGAATTAGGTATTGTAATCCTCTATGATTGTCATATTTATAACAATATTTTTATTTCAGTAGAAGACAACAAACATTTTGAAGAAAATATTGAAGTAGATTCACCAATTCCTGATGTTAATAATGTTATGTTAGAACAAATTGATATTTCACCAGAAAAACATGAACACCAGTAAGTTTTGACAAAAATAAATAGGATTTTATATTATTTAAATTATACTCCAGTGGCGAATGCTGATTCCATTGATGGGCATGCTCATTTATTAAAATAATTTAGTTATAATAATTTYACCATTATCAGAAAAGTATCTCCTTATAAAAGATWTAGAAATCAAGTCACTTATAACTTATTTAGCTTATATGATAACTATAATATTATTTATGTATTTAAAATAATATACTTATAATTGTACCAAATACTATTAAAAAATATTTAAAAATAGCACAATAAAAAAAAAAAAATTGTCATATACTCGTCACTTAATTTCAAAATAACTGGTATCTCATAGTGATAAAAAAGGGTTATATAACTTGCGCATAGATTTATTGCATGCTTAATGCTTTTTCATTAAATGTTACAATAAAGATGAACATGGATAAGTATAGACGTTTTTATTTCTAAGCATGCCTAGAGAATTCGCCACTGTTATATTCTATATGAAAAGCATGTAKATACAAATTATATTTTGATTTAGAAATGAATTAAATTTTGATTTTCAACAATCGATTGGAGAATTAGAAGATTGGAAAGACAAACAAATGTTATTATTTAATGAAAAGGTTATTTTTTTTATTAATGTTAATAATCATATTTAAATTACAAACAATTTTTATTACACTTACACAGATGAAATTGAAAGAGGAACAACTGTTAAAAGAATTTAATAATAAATGGTTGAATGATAGAAAACTCATTGAAGAGGAACTTACCTTTGCTATGTCAAAATGTAAAGCATTAGCTAAGGAATTAGACGAAATGTCTGATAAGTTAAAAGAAAGAGATGCAATTGTAACAGCTAAAGAACTAGAAGTATGATCATTCATAGTAATTTTTCCCCTGTTGAAAATATTATTAAGGTTAAGATGTTTATGATTTTTCATATTTTTTTCTTAGTTGCACACATTGCAGACCAAGTTTTAAATTAGTTTTCTATGACATGAAATCAGAYACAATAAATTTATTGTATTTTGCTTATTTAAAAGTTTTTAGGAATTAGTTCATATTTATAAAATAAATTTCACATTTTGCATAATTTGATAAAAAAAAAAATTKAAAAAAAGTTGACTATAAATTCTAAATCTATTTTTTCACATTAATATAGTTATTCTAAAAAAATCAACATATTTATTAGTGTTATATATTATTGATTTAAGTGCAGATTTTGTTATTTTCTGGCGTATTTTAATGCATTTTTTGAGTTTTAAGATTATAAACATCCTAACCCTAATTATTACTATTAATAATTCTATTATATATTGTAATTTTTTAGTTAGCATGTCAAAAAAATAGTATGGATAATAAATATATTGGATTAATGTCTTCCAATGCACAAACACATAATGAGCTAAGTAAAAATATTTTTGAATTGGAAAAAAAACTGCATGGGTTAGAAAAATTGAATATTTTACTAAGAAAAGAAAATGAAAAACTAAAATATGATAACAGTTGTGGTTTGCATGTACAAGAATTAGAAAATAAAATTGTATGTTATTTAAATTTAAACATATTTTATGTTTACATAAATAATAATTAATTATTATCATATTTAGTCAATTTTAGAGGGTAAACTTGAAGACGCTAATAAGTCTTGTATGTTCTTCAAAGAACGATGGATAACATCTGTGAGAAAAATAAATCAATTGTACACAAAATTTCATGGAACTAAAACTGATGATCATTTACTCAACAATAAACAAAAGTAAATACTTAATACTTATGATTTATTATTGAATACATATTTGAGAAAAAAAGTTTTTGATATATTCAGTTGTTATATWTATGTTACCGTCAATGTCGGAAATAAGCCATTATCAGTAATGACTAGTCAATATTAGCAATGGCTAATTAGTTAAGGCAATACTGACAATGGCTAGGCAATATATAAAATGCCTACAATCGATAGTTAA